AACAACAGATGTCTTGTGGCACCATATTGCTGCAGGTTAAGTTCTTGAGCTGACTGCACTTTGTCTGCAGCAATGGTGGCTTGCCTTCCCTCCACTGCGGGCTGTGAATTCATGATCTCCTCCACATCTTGGCTTGTCAACAGGCTGTCACATACTCACTGAGGTATTTTTCCCACTTTTCCAGAGGTCTCTTGTGATGCATTGCCTCAGTCCCTTCAAACTAGTGGCCAGATTGAACAGCATGTTGTTAGTTTTGTTGTCTGTGTTAGGAAAGTGAGGACGTGGCCCTTTCTTTGTAAAAATGTTTAAAAACTTTTGAAAGCTACTGAGGTTTGATTTTAGTGTCCCTTGTTCTTTAAATTAGGTATTACCCAGTCGAGCCACACTTTGTTGCCTTCGTCTTCTGCCAAGATGACTATATCTTCCCCAGAGGGGTCAATATCCTCAAGCATAGTTCTCACTTGGCACACGTCCTGAAGGCAGTTTTTGTCTTGGTGAAATCCAGCTGCAAGAGTAAATAGGTAGTTGAAGTCAGCAAACCAAATGTGGCGCTTGGTGGATGCATGTTCTTCGTTGAAATAGTCAGTCTTGGTAGGGTACACCTTGTCCCTGTCACTCGATACATCAGAGGTAGGCGCCTCCTCAGAGGCAGGACAGGCAGTTGTTTCCACTTGAGACATTGGCAGGTTGCTGCTACCACTACCTGGCCTCTTAGGTGTGGGTGGAGCTACACTTTCGGCAATGTCTGATTCTAGGTCTTGGGCTCGTGGCATCTCTGCCTTTGATTGTTCAACATGGGAAGCATCATCCTCCAACGTGGATCTTTTGGATGCTGGATGTGGCAGGCTTACCTCAGCAATTGGAGGTTCTGGATGTACCATTGAAAGGAGTTCCTCTTCCGTTCCAATGTAGCGTTTTGCTGCCTTAAGCCTTAATGTGTAAGCTGTGCCACCAGCCTTCATCCTATGCTTGTTCTGAAGATGCTGAGGCAGATATGCCCCAAGGTAGTTGCAGTTTGGCTGGGGCACCACCTTCTCCATCTTTCTTTGGACTTCTTGTCTGGCTTTGTTTTATAGGAGGCCCTCTTTTTTTCTTGGGGTTAACACCCATCCAAAAGAAGCGGTCTACGTCTTGTTCACTGACTTCGTTCTTTTTCAAGTGGACATTCCTCAGGTGCCGTTTGAGGTTAGGTAGACACATCCCTTCCCACTAAGCACTCTCTAGGGAGGTGGTGACTTTGGGTATTCTTCTCTTCCACCTGCGGTCCCTCATCCTCAACCTTTTCTTCCCCACTCTCCTTCTCATCCGTGTCACCTTGATATGCATCGTAACTATCATCTTGGTCTTGACTATCTCCCCGGTACTTGTCACCTCTTCCACCTTCACTATGGCTTCCTTCGTTACTCATCTGGCTAAACCTCTTGTGCTCCAATGTGTTCACCTTTAGAAACATATCTGTTGTGCTACAGATGTCGTTAATCGAGGATCTGGCCAGCCACATCTACTCCGCTTAGGCAGTTAACATGCTGCAAAGTAAAGCAAGTTGCTTAGGTCTCTTTTCACTTGCTCTTTGCTTGCATCCGGGTCGAATGTACTTACGATTGTAGAGGATTCCTTCTTCAAGACGTAAGTGTTCCAACGAGGTTTTGTCTCCCTTTTTGCCATTTTCCAAAAGCTAAATCAAAGTTGAAAGTTCTTTCTCCACTTTGAAGGACAATTTCAACAAAACCCACACCAGGTGGCTTTATTATTAACTTCGCTCAAAATGACGGCAAGTTAAAGAAAATGAACAAACAGCGTGGGAAAAACTGGGTCCTCTCCCCTGGTAAAGCCATGGTCCGCCCCACGATCCTCGTCTTTTTGCTGAGCAAACCTGTCAAAGAAGAAAGAAGTGACAATCAGGAAAGGTGAGGGTGGGAGCATTATTATATTTCGTCTCCATTTACTCGTGCAGTTCATCTTATACTACAAGGCTATGGGTCTTGCATAATCTCCGACGACAGATGCTTTCATGAAACACCCTGGTTGGAGCACAGTAATTAGCGAGTATTAATCTGACACTTCTGGCTGGTATCATTTGCTAGTGCTAACCGAGTTTGATCTTTGTTTTTTAGCCTTATTACTTGGTTGCCCACCC